TTACATTAGTATGTTCACTATGTGAAAATGTATTGAGTTGTTCATGATAAGGTATGCATTTTTCTGTATATATTCTGTTCTCAATAAACCACTAAAAAACCTTAAATATAACCAGTTGTGTGACATAGAAGCAATGTCTAGAGATTGTTAGGGGGATAGAGGCTATACAAAGGTAGTACGCATGCTATAGGCAAGACTTGTAATCCAGACAATTTTTACCTAATTCCTATGTCATTCTTATGTGAATATTCTAAAGCTATTTAAGTAAAATTCTGGATTTAACACTTTGCCATTGTATCAATGTTAAGTGGAAAGCTATAAGATCATGAGTGATCATAAATAATCACTACGTGGACCACCTTTCCAGATCTCTATAGCTCTATGCACATATCACCTTTCTTTCACCACCCTTCTCTAATATTTTCCAGGTCCCATCTTTCACAGGCAAGTTCTTTAGGTAACCAAATGCCTACATTATTTATCATGTCAAGTTTCTAACTAAACACAGCAAAACAGAATAAAACAGAATCCTATAGTAATACATTTCTAGCATCATAGAGTTGCTTGAATCAGAATTCATTCTCCTTCAGCTCCTCCACTGAGCTAAAATTCCTTCCAAGTTTTTGGGATGGTGCTCTCACTATCACTATCTCTGCTATCCATAGGATAAGCATTGGCCATTCCCAAATACAAGAATGAATTGCAATTTCACTGCTTTCCTCCCACGTTCAAGTGGCAGTGGCTCAATTTGGCAGTTTGTCAAAAAGAATCACAGTATAGAGCACTTGGTGATCTTTAACCAAATGTATTTGTTTTGTATACATCATATTATATATATATATATATATATAGAGAGAGAGAGAGAGAGAGAGAGAGATACACATATATATAAACATACATATATAAGGTATGAAATATATATGTGTATATTTATACATACAGATATATATATATTATATATATATATATATATATTTCACACATTATAATAGAGCACAGTGAGGATATAGTACATAACCCTAGAATTTAAACAGGTTTCTCTTTGAGAACTTTTCTTTAAAATGGTTTACTTTTATTGAACTAAAAATGTTGACTGACTTTTTAAAAGCACCACTTCATGACAGTTATTGCAATTATTGTTTCCTTCTAAGAATGACCTATGTCTTAAATATTTACTACCAGGTGGTTTATGGAAAGTATGCTGTCAAATAAATAACATTTTCAGAAAGAAACTATCAGAACAGGGTTCGTATTCCAAACCAAAGACTCAGCAAAGAAACCATAACTATGAGAAATAATTTGTCATAATAGCAAAGATAAAACCATCATAAAATTTTATAATATAAAGTGACAAGAGGTCTCGAGTTTCTGAAACCCGAAAGTTGAGAGCTCCTTTGCACCCGGGCGGCTGCTCCTGGCGTCAGGGTGGTTGTAACCATGCCACAAAATATATATATTGAGTTACACCATAAGCGCTATGGATATCATTTAGATTACCATGAGAAAAAAGAGAAAGAAGGAAGGCTGAGAGGCTTGTGAACATTCAAAGAAGGCAAAAAAGATTATTGGTCTCAAAGCTAAACTCTACCATAAACAGAGCCTTGCTGCAAAAATACCAATGAAAAAGACTATCAAGATGCACGAAAAGAAAAACAACAAACAAAAGAATGATGAAAAGACTCCACAAGGAGCAGTACCTGCATATCTATTGGACAGAGAGGGACAGTCCCGAGCTAAAGCACTTTCCAATATAATTAAACTAAAATGAAAAGAGAAAGTTGGAAAATGGGAAATTCCTCTGCCCAAAGTTCATGTTCAGGGAGAAACAGGTATAAAAGTTACTCAAACAGGAAAGAGAAAGAAGAAAATGTGGAAGAGGATGGTTACTAAAGTCTGCTTTGTTGGAGATGTTTTTTCTCAAAAAACACCTAAATATGAAAGATTCATTAGGCCTATGGGCTTACGTTTCAAGAAGGCCTATGTAACACATCCTTAACTGAAAGACACCTTTTGCCTGCCAACACTTGGTATAAAGAATCCCTCATTGCCACTTTATACAACCTTGGGTGTTACTACCAATGGTGGGGTCATTGAGGTGAATGTGAGCAAGTTGGGCCTGTGACACAAGGAGGCAAGGTTATTTGGGGGAAAATATGCCCAAGTTACCAACAATCCTAAAAATGATGGATGCATAAGTGCAGCCTTACTGGTTTGACAGCAGCTTCATACAAGTAGCTCTTTATAATTATTGAAGACTCCACACCGATCAGGAAAACCACCTTTACTGTGATGTTTCTGAGTACTGCTAAAGAGCTTACATGTCTGCAGTCAAGAGAACTATTTATTATATTGTTAAGAACATTAAAATGACTGAGTTTTTAATAAATAAATAAACAAACAAACAAATAAATAAAAAGTGACAAAATGATGCATCAATTTTTTTTTTAAGATTTTTATTGGGGAATTGGAAGATGGGAACAGCACTGGGAAATTGGGGGGAGGGGAACAGACAAGTTGCTGTCCTTTTGTTCTTCAGTCTAGTTGTGGAGGACGTTGCTTCACTGGCCCAAGTTGGCACCATCATTGTGCTCTTCCCGGGCGAGGCACATCAGTCGCCGGCTTCTGGACGGCCACTCACGCTGGCTGCTGGCTACTCACGGTAGCCCATGGCAACCCACCTGCTGTTGCCAGTGACTCACTGCAGCCCAGCTCCAGGTTGAGCTGTTGTTCAGCATCTTAGCTGTAGAGGGCAGTGTCACTGGCCATCATATGTGGGATCTGAACCGGGGCCCTCGGGCATCCCAAGCCAGCTCTTAACCAACACACCACTTGGCCGGCCCTCAATTTATTTATTTATTTATTTTTACTTATAACATTTATCAGGTCTCTGTTATATGTCAGGCATTGCTAATAAAAAAAAAAGAAAAAAAAAAGAACTGGCACTTACCACCCCCAAGGAATTAAGAGTCTAGATGTACTGAACAAGTAAATCAATGTTTCGTGTATGGTGTGGTAAGTCCTATGAAAGAGAGAACCTCAGAGTCTTTTGGGACACAGAAGAGGAGCATTTAAATCAGTATCGAGGGGTTCACTAAACACTTCCTGGAAAAAATGTAAAGCAACATGGACATTCAAGATACTGAGAGTTCTTGTTTGGAGGAAAGTTTTAGAGGGAACAGAATCAAGAAATGAGGAGGGAGTGTGAATGGTAGAAGCCAAATTATGAAATGCTGTGGGTGCTGATTTAAAAGTTTGAACTTTATCCAGAAAGATTGTCCCTATAATCTTCAAAAGCTACTAAAATGGATTTTAAGCAAGGAAGTAAAATGAGTACATTTTCATTTTTAAAGATGTATTTACTTTGGTTATGGGGCAAGGCTAAAGTAGTAATCATAAATTCAGGAGGCAACGTTAGGAATGGAGTAGAGGGAACAGATCTGAGAAATAAAAGCGATAGAATTTGCTGAACTTAAGAGGCTAACTGGAAGAGAGAATGGAATAAGAATGAAGAGTCTAAAATGATTTGGTGACTAAGTGGATGGTGTATGAGGGCAGAGAAGACAGGAGAAAGAGTGGTTCCGAGGCAACGGGAAAGAATGATGAATTCATTTCAAATTATCTTGGGTGTTATGTTTTCTATATATCATCCAAAGAATCCCTACAAAATATAAATCACATAAAAAAACAAACAAATAATTCCCCTGTATTAGACTTAAAGTTTATTGTGGCTAGTATATTCACTTTAATTATTTAATTGGCAAAGATTTCATGATTTTCTTAAAGTTATGTTGGGATGGGAGGAGTGAAATATCTGAATAACCCAAGTCTCTTTTACAAAGTGGAACAAGAAAGTTGAAGTTTCATTATCCTCTCAAAATAGCTTTTGCAGCAAGCTGATATAGAAAATCATTCCGTTGACCAAAGACTATTGAGCAGCTTTTCAAAAATAACCTGCAAATGAGACATTCCTTAGAAAATTACTGTACTACCATAAGTAAAGGTATCAGAAGGTGAAATATGCAGTTTTAATATGTAATATTAACATAGCAACAACATGAATTATGCAGTTATACAAAGCATTTTTTTAAGTTTAGGGAATCTAAACCTCCAGAAAAATAAAAAAATAAAAAACGTACTTCTGAGATAGTCACAAACCTCTATATCCAACTGTTTACAAGGAAATTTATTATTTATTTATATATGGGAAAATGAGTCTTCAGTTTCATTAGTCATTTCTCATATTCTATGGCCCAAAAAAAAGGTACACTTTTCTGTTTATTATGTATAAACTATGACATGGTGAGGGGAAGAAGTTGCCTGGAGGGACTTCAGCTTTATTTATGGTAGCCAAGACATGAAAACAACCAAAGTGTCCTTCCATAGATGATTGGATAAAGAAGATGTAGTATATATACACAATGGAATACTATTCTGCCATAAGAAAAGATGAAATAGTGCCATTTGCAACAACATGGATGAATCTTGAGATTATAATGCTAGGTGAAATAAATCAGACAGAAAAAGGCGAAAACCATGATTTCACTGATATGTGGTATATAAAACTGAAAACAACAAAGGAACAAGACAAACAAATGAACAAAAACTCATAGACACAGACAATAGTTTAGTGGTTACCAGAGGGTAAGTAAGGAGAGGGAGTGGTAGATGAGGGTAAAAGGGATCAAATATATGGTGATGAAAGGAGAACTGACTCTGGGTGGTGAACATAAAATGTGATATATAGATGATGTATTAAAGAATTGCACACTTGAAATTTATGTAACTATACTAACAATTGTCACCCCAATAAACTTTAATAAAAAAAAAATAGGAGTGAGTCTCTGAGCCTTGGAGCTGTTAAATGACCCATTCTGCCTCCCACAGCTATCTCCTCAGAGCTCTACAAAAACTAATCAACCCAAGTCAACAAAAACAAAACACTCACACACCTCATTCAGTCACTACAACATACAGCTACAGAACAGGATTCGAGGACTCACTTTCTTTGCGAACTTCCTCAAGAGTAGCAGCAAGCTCTTCCTTTAACACTGTGGCTTCCTGGGCAATCTTCTCTCCCTTGTCTAGTAAATTCCAAGTGGCTTCCTCCACTGAAGCTAGAAGGACTCTGGCTCTTTTGGAACATCCTTTTTTCCTGTTGGAAGGATTCTGGGGACAATTTACAAGTGTGGTAACCTAAAAGTGGAAAAACACAAGTCACTCATTAGACAAATTGTGAGGGCACAGTCCTAGGATATCATAGCGCAGAGCAAATTGAAATATATCATAGTAACACAATTCACTCCCAGTACGATTTGTATATCCCCAAAAGTCAAGTCAAGGCACCAAGAGCAATATTATTGCCACCACAGAGTTCCCAACTAAAGGGAGGAAGACAGAGAGGGAGGGAGGGAGGGAGGGAAGGAAGGAGGGAGGGACGTAGCGATTTAATCTCTCCAAGTTTTACTATTGGAACAATGCTTTAGAAGACAGTCTGTGCATGTATGTGTGTGTGTGTGTGTGTGTGTGTGTGTGTGTGTGTTTTAATTACAAAAACTTCATCTGGAGAAAAAATACAAAACCTCGATAAAGCAGTCAAAATTGAGAAAAATAGAAAATTATGTATCAAAAATATCAAATAATTATAAAATAAAATTTACACCACTTTCTAGCCAGCAATCTACATTAGGAAGGAAGCAAAAATAATTATAATTAAGTCAGTAAATATTAGTCTATTTAAGCTACAAATAGAGATTACCAATATTGGGGTGGGAGGACTACTTGGAAACACATAAAGCGGTTGTTACCTCTGTGAGACAAAACCCCAATATTTACTGTAACCTACATTTTTGATCCTTTGTAACCCCTCTTACCTGTCTCCTATATGCTCCCCTAACTCAGTTGGCCTCTCAAACAAACAGGTCCCACTCAAAGTCCCCTCTCAAGTGACCCTCCTCACCACTCCCACCCCCACCCTCTACAACTCTGTCCCCTTACCCACTTTATAGTTCTTTAAAACACTTATAGAGCCTGACATTTATTTATGTGTTTATTGCATGCTTCCAATACTAAAACGTAAACTACATGAAAGCAGAAAATGTGTTGTGTGCTCCAGGGCCCAGAACAATGCCTTTTTAATGTCTATATTTTTAATTACCTGAATATGGTAATAATGAACACATATTACTTTTATGAATATGTTTAAAATAAGAATAAACTCACGATACGAGCATTATTTGAAGATAGAAATTAAGCATCTATATTTGGAAACAAAACCTCATACCAAATTACACTGAGAATAATATCCATTTCTTAAACATTGGGTCCCAGTAACAAAATTTGGTTAACATTCCCATATGCAAAGCTTGAATATTACCATCCTAGCAGAAGAAAAAAATAAATTTGTATCCAGTATTTAAAATAGAAGATCTGAAACTCGTATTAAAAGCTAGACTCCTGCACGTCATCAAATAGCCGAGGCTTATGACAATTATACACCACTTCACTGAGAACAGACAGACAGACATAACCCTTCCTGTTCTGCAGCCTCTGAAGATTTAGCTTGTTTGTCTGCACTTTTATCTCCCTCTTCCTGTCCAACATACCCACTGTTTTATTCCAATTTGCTTTATTGCAATGTTTGCAACTCAGAGTGGAATGCCTTGCAGCAAGCGTTTGTTTCCTCTCTTGGAAAATAAGAAAAATCATATTATTCTACACGACTATGTGAAGGTTAAATACTGTAAAATGACTTGTAAAATGCATAACATGACCCAAATATTGGTTGGCACTTAATGTGTATTTTCTAGTTTATTTCCCACATGGATATAGAAAATCCATTATAGGGTCTTTGTCAAACGTGTTCTCTCTGTGTCTAACCTTATCTTGCTCTTGGGGTCCCCTGCACTGTCTGTGATGAAGGCAGATAACGAAGCACATTCTATATGCTTTACAATCAGCCAAATAGGGCCACATGTCTTTATCATGCATGATATGAAGATGATAATAAGTCTGATTTATTACACAGGTGTTCACATATTCGAAAAAGCAAACATCTCACTATTGTCAGTCAAATTTATATATCAAGAGTTAAAAGATATTTGTCCAGATTAAGACAAATTATCGCATGTAGTTTAAAACCTTTGTTTAAAATGAAGAATAAGTTTGTGTCACTAAAAAACTGACCTTCACCTGTCCATTTGGCAGCTCTAAGCCTCAGTCTTTCCTGTGTGATACAACAAAAGTAGAATAATTTGAAAGGCTCTGTCTAACTAAACAAAAGTTAGTATCCTGAGAACTGAAGTTTGTTTATTTAGAGAAATTATTCCTCTTTTATTAAAAGCTTGTACATGAAAAAAAATAAAAATAAAATGAAGAATAAGTATCATTGTCTAAAATGTTCCTTCAGAATGCATTTTAAGTGCCACAATTCATGACGCTTCCCACTGAACATTCCTCTATTATTGTTCAGATCCTCCATGTGCCAAATGCTTTCCATAGAATAGCACAAGTTTTGAAATGAAAATGAGCATTCCAGAAATGCTTTATTCCCTATAATAAATGCCAGAGAAGAAAGAAATGTGAAAAGAACATTGTATAACAACACTGTGCTTTCATCAAAAAAAAAAAATTGCACTTCCAACTTGCAAATTATTCACTTGTATAAATCTTTTATGCCTATGTCTTCTATTAAAATGTTCCAATATGATTATCTATTATTGACTAAACAAAAGTCAATTGATGTTTTCAATGATTCGTTTTATTTCAGAAAGTAAATATTGTTTGGTAATCCTTGGGGGTGGGGAAGGGGAGAGGCTAAACCTGTTTATTTGTTTTTAACCCCAGCTGACCTACAAGATCTAATGACTCCCATCAGTGACTGTCATGACAAAAGACGATTCTCTCCAAGGGTTAGGTGGGTACATAATGTTATTTGAAAAAGTCTCCCATCTCTTGAAGGAATGCCAGCAACCAGTACAATTAGCTTTCAAGTTATTCTGTAAAATAATTCCCTTTTCTTTTGTAGTACAAAATCAGTTACATTTTCATAAGGAACACAAACACTTTAGGTGGAATTTACAGCAAAGGTGATTCCAATGTAGGGTCCAAGCTTATGCATGTCTCACTAACCTTTCTTTTTGTCACCGAAGCACAACCCTGCCCTTTCCCTCTTTCTCAGATTTTAAGGGGTCCCTCTCATATGGAAAATCTTCAACACCAGGCTGCAGCTCTTAAAGAACTTGGGTTCGCTCACTTTTCCTTAGTCTATAAATCTGTACTGAGCCACAGACACACACCTTCATCATAGATAAGGGAGTGAGCTCCTCATTGAAATGGTTCTAAATTAGACACCTCAAGTAATATGATAAGCAGAGGTTGCCTACTTTATTAATTCTGCATGTTGACAATTCCGTAAAACCAGGTATATTTTTAATGGTCTGTAATACTTCTATATTAAAATTTAGAGTACCAAAAAAAGGGGTTTCTAATCTTTCCTAATTCAGGTATGCTTCTCTAGAGGCTCCAAAGATACTGAAAATTAAGTTGATATGCTCAGTGAACCAAGCCATCACCTGTTATTATGTAGAGCAACCTGTTATTATATAGAGCAACACTAAAACACAACAAGAGCACTGCAGATTATGGTATGAGGTTGTCATTACGTCAATGCAACAACTGCCTTAGTACCTCAGGCTAAAGCTAGTTTTGTGCAAAATCTTCTGTATTGCCAACATGGGTAACATTTATATTCTATAATCATGTTCTTTCCCATTCTAACTAATTCTTTTTAAAATTCTACTATCACTCTAGTATAAAAAGCCCATGTTAACAGCCATCTCTTTTCTTATTTATTAGCTAAAACACTTTGAATTTTAACCTTCCTCCAATAGCTCATGGGAGCCTTCAGCGTTCCTTTTGCTTCCTTGAGTTAATTTTAATGTGTGAAATAAAATATAAGACATTTAAGCCATGTTAATTAGCTAAAATTTCAAACAGAGTTCCGAAAGAAATTACAAGGGTAGGAAAATAAAATTGTCTATAGATAAGTAAAACCAGTGATCCCTTTCAAGTAAAAGGTATCATCTAGTCTTGCATGGGAGGTGGGGGGGTTGGGTGGAAGGGTCCTTTCAAGTCACTAATAATTTCAACTGTTCCTTATTTCCTACCAAAAACAACCTTTTCTGTATTAACAAAAGTACTAAGAGGATTGAAGTGTTGGGAACCCAGCAAATGCATATGCCTCGATTAACATTCAACACTCCCCTAAAACCAACTACAATCTTCTTTTAGTTCATCGCAGGCCAATAAACATTTATTGAACACATGTGTTCAAAAATAATACCCTAAATATTTAGAAAATAAAGATGAGAAAGCTCCAGTATGGGAAGACAGATACAACTAGGTGCATATAAAAGGCAAAATGATAACTTGTAAGTGAAAGAAAGTCCTAAAGAGATTGCAAACATTCACAAGGATTAAGGAGGGCTTCCAAGAACAGCCTTTAAGGACAGATAGTTTTCTGCCATGACAGACAGAAGAGAAAGTGAGCCAGGTGAAAGCACCCATGTGCAAAGGGACAGAGATGGAAATTATTTTTGTCTGAGAATAGCATATAAGTTTAGCAAAGTATGGGGTAAATACAGGAATTTGGGTAAGAAATGAGGCTCAGAAGTCGCTTAAATGTGAAGTGTTAAAAGCCAAGGGGAAAGTTAATGTTTAATTCAATAGACAAGAGACACTTCGGACAGCATGCCCAAAGTGGAAGCCTTCGTCTACCAACCTGCCTCTCCTTCTTCTGTATTTTTTACCTCAGGGCCTGACACTTCTAACCTGAGGCAGAAGCCCAAAGGTCCCCTGGGTTACTCCCTCTCTCTTCTCCTCTCCAGTTTCTTTATATAATCTCTTTAAAAGCCTTCATTTCTGTCACCTCCTCTCCAGCCCACAGCCGTGGCTTCTTATGGCTGCTCTCTGAAGTATTGCCCTAGCCTACAAGTCCCTCCAAGCCATGCTCCATAACACAGAATCAGAAGGCCTCCTGAAGCCTCCATCTCAGCCCCATCTCCACTCTACTGTTATGAAAGGCACAGGCCCTCATCACATTTCCACACTCCCATTAGAGCCATCTCTCTACAACACTAGTCTGATACACTCGCACCAGCTTAAACCAGTCCAATGGCTCCCTGCTGCCTACAAGA